GAAAACCAATATGAACCTTTGAGTATTGAAGTTTTTTACGACCATTTAACATACATTTTTTTTCAAGGTAATGTTAGACTCCTACAAAATCCAAATCAAAATATAAGGGGATTACACAGAAAATCGAGTCAGTTGCATCCAAATAATAGGTAAATTGATATATATTATACATAGAAAAAGTTAATTCACGATTTTATACTTCACCTGACTTATATGAATTTGATCTTTAGATTCATGCTAAAGAGATGAAACAAGTCAATATGAGTAAGAAGCCTGGAATTGGCAACATGTCCATACAAAAAAGATATGTTGCAAAGTCCGCGGAAAGAAAAAAACTTACTTCTCGATATAGGTCGTGCCTTCAGACATTAATGGGAATATCAGATTTGGATGACGGAGGTGCTCGTAATATACCAATGGAGGAATGTATTTTTGGTTTTTCCTATTACGAAATAATAAGTAAAGAGGATGTGAATCAAGTTCTTAGACATTCAGAATTAGGCCTCGGTGTTATCAATAAATACATCAGGTATACTCCAATCAAATTTATTTAATTAATTAAACAATCTATCTACTCATTTCAATTAATGGTCTTAATGTTAATGATGCTTTTATTTAAGTTTCATGTATGCCAACTTGATGCGCCCGCATCAATTGGACCAAAGATTCTATTTCTTATCTCCAAACAGTATCAACTCACTATTAATCTAACAAAGACCAGATAAATTCAAATATTATTTTGTCCGTGCATTTATGGCCAACAAAGATACAAAAATATTGTTTTTTTCATTTAATACTGGAAATGGGTAAGATTTTCATTCAAACTTCATCTATTATAATTTTTCGTGTTTTGACGTTGTGTAGAAAGTTTTCATCTAACCTTTATTAATATTATAGTGGACACAGGTTGTCGGTTGCGATTAATCCAATAAGATAAATTGCTGGATTCGTTAGAAGGTGATTGGACAAAATACCCATATATGAAGGAGATGGTCGATACGTAAGTTAGATTGTTCTAAATCTTTGTTTGTATACTTATTTATTTATTTATGTGATATTGTTCTAAATATTCGTTTATATTTTGTTAGAGTTATACAAATTTTTCGATCACAAAGAGATACTCAAGTACCAATGAGTAAAGCAAACAACATTACATGGATAAGAGTGCAAATATATTTTCACAAATTTGATTATATTAGTGATGCTACTTGATAAAACAAGTTAAACTATATATCCTGATATATATTCATATTTTTTTTCCATGTGTAGTATGCTCGTTAGTGTAATGGCATAGATTGCAGTTATTTCATGTTGAGGTTTATGAAAGAAATTATTCTTTTGAATCAAATAGAGATTCCAACCATGGTATAGGTTTCTAACTTATGATTTATTTTAATATATTTAACACATTTCATCTAATAATTAATTTTAACAAAATCATATTATGTTATATTATGTAGTACTTTAATGAATACAAGTCTTCTACTTACTCGAAAGATCAATTGGACGAAATTAAGGAGGATTAATGTCAATACATTATTGAGATGAGAAATTTATAAGGTATTGTGACACTTTCATTGATGAGAATTTTGAGTATATATAAGTTTGAGTATTAATGAGATACTATGTCGTCATTAGTGTGGTAAATTGTGTTGCAATATTGTTATTGTTATCTGGAAGGTTAGTTAGGATGGTATTGGATTTAAATTCAAATAAAGTTTTGTTTGTATCATGGTATGAAACGGGTAATTTTAAATGGTGGGTTATAACAGAGTCTTGATTTGTTTTTGTTACATTGATTTGTGTTAACTTATAATAGTTATAAGATTTAAGTGTTATATAGCTTGGTTCTGATATGCCTTTGTTGATTTTGTTTCAGGTAGGTGCATATGTATAAGATATAGAGATAACAAGTTCATTTAGAATTCTTCATTGTTGTTGTTTGTAGAGAAGATAGTAGAGAAGATAACAACTCTAGAAGATATTAATATTGGATTATAAAGTTGTATACATAAATATGTAATTTTATGTATATATAAACTATTGAATTCTTCATGTTGTATCCCATTTATGTATATATAAATTATTGGATTAAAGTTGTATATATAAATATGTAAATTTGGTGCATTGAAGCTGCAAATTTATGAAATCTGGTGCAAATTTGAAAGACAGCGCTTAAATTTTAAGTGATTATTTGTACAGGACGCTTAAAATATAAGCTGAATATATTAAAAAATATGTAAACATTAGACAACGCTTTACACAAAAAAGTGATGCCTATATTTGGGAATAGAAAGCGCTTTAAAGGAAGCGCTGCCTAAAGGGGTCATACAAAAGCGCTTACAAAGCACTGCCTAAAAGGGATTTTAGAAAGTGCTTTTAAAGGAAGCGCTGCATAAACGAGTGCATACAAAAGCGCTTGTGATGCACAAAGAGCTTCCTAAAAGGGACTTTAGAAAGCGCTTTTAGAGCAAGCACGGCCTAAAATATAAAAAAAGTGAGCAAAAAATATATTACACAACACTTTTAGAAGCGTTGTCTAAAGTGAAAGCGCTGCTATAGGCACACTTTAGAAAGTTCTTGTAATGTAAAAATCGCGGCCTAAAAGGTACTTTAGAAAGCGCTTAATGAATAAAGCATTGTCTAAAGGCTACATTAAACAACGCTTTCACACAGAAAAAAGGGTTGTCTTTACTTACAGCAGCGCAAGAATAGGCAGCGCTTTTAAGCATTGTCTATGGAGAAAAAAACGCCGTCTATTCCCTTATATGGCATAGTGGATCCTGAAGGTTTCCATACTTGAATTCAAGAAATTGAGAAACTTTTCAGGGTAATGGCATACACTGATGCGCATAAGGTATTGTTTAGGTCTTATATGTTATCGAAAGAAGTTGAGTACTAGTGGGAGAATACTAGTCTAATATTAGAGGTCGCTGGTACTGCTATTACTTTGAATCATTTTAAGAATGAGTTCTTGGAAAAACATTTCCCGACAGATGTTCGTAACGGTAAGGAGATTAAGTTCTTAAAGTTGAAGCAGTGTAATATAGTTGTGGTGGACTATGCCATCAAATTTAAAGATCTAGATAAGTTTTTTCTTCACTATAATGGTGTTGACACTGAGGGTTTCAAGTGTGTGAAATTTGAAAGTAGTCTGTATTATGCATCCTGTAAAATGAGTCTGACTTCGGTGATGGTACAACATGCACGGGAGTAGAGGAGATAAGTATTACATATTTATTCTTGTATATGTGTCATGATATTGTGTGATTTTGATTGATTGTGAATGACGTGCTTGTAATTTAAATGTTATCCTTGTTGTTATTATACCACGTAATTTTAATGAATGTATTAACACACCTTTCGTTTCTATGATCCTCTATGTGAACCCTTGTACAAATGGTTTTCAAGTTGAGACTGAGGAGTGATTATTGCTATTTGTTTATGGAAGATGGTGTAGATGTCCACTTTGTCTGTTTGCTTTGATTTTAGGTTTCATCAAACCTTAAGTCAGCCATTAGTTTATTTTGGAATTATAACTGATATATTTTAACATCGGGGTTGGAATTTTTTGCTATGTTCTCTATTTTATCTTAAACCGGATAATTGTACCATATTGTTATATTTTGAATATCTATTTCTATTTCGAAGTAAAAATTTGAGTATAATGTTGGTGTGACACTTTTGTCTTATATTCTTATATTCCGCAATATTTTTATAAAGAAAGAAAAAATTTATCATGGGATTAGGGTGTTACGTTATCCATCATAATCAAAATGAGAAGGCGACCGACAAGACATCAAGTTAACGGTCACAAACGCGCCTTATCCTGTAATGGTTCCAGAAGAGGCAAATACATCTTTTTCTGAAACGCTTCTGAAACATCAACTCGAGTTTGGTTATGCTACATGAGAGAGTCGGACGTGGGGTGGGGGGGGGGGGGGGGGGGGGGGCAGCGACTGGGTGGTGGAAGTTACTCGGTGTGACATTCCGACCACATCTCAAGCTTGGTAGGTTCCATTCTCGTATTCATTGGGTGATGACTCGTGTTTTGGACTTGTTTTAGATATGTTGTGTTTTAACATTTAGAAATATGTATCTCTATCCTTTTTGTTAGCTAAGATAGGAAGATATATGGAAGATGTAGTAAATGTACTTAGAGAGATAACATTTCCTTAGAGTTCTTGAAATTTGGGAAACCTTTAAATGTATCTAAGAAGATTGGAAAAATACTTCTAAACACTTTGTGTTTATGTTATTCATATATAGAGAGTTTGAGAGATTGAGAAATACTTGTATAGAAAATAGGTTTTATAAATATATTAAATCAGAGAGTTGCTCTATCTCCTAAAATAGATCTATTTGATCGAACTGCTAAACAAGTTCTCTATGTATTCGTCTTTTATATTCATCTTTCTTGTTATGGATTTGTTTGCCATGTTTGGCATGCTAGTTTGTTACTTTAGGTCATTTAATTTGGTTGTCTTTATTTTTTGTATGGATTTGTTTGCAATGTTTGGCATGCTAGTTTGTTTGTTGCTTTATGTCATTTAATTTGGTTGTCTTTATTATTTGTCTCAAACATCATTATTCTTAACGAAATTAATTATGTTGTTAGATTTTCAATGAAAAAGAACTTGTATGGTTGAACCTTTTAATTTCACAATATAATTCTATACAAACTTATTCAAATACGAAGGAACGAACATACAAACATGTATATACCCAAACAACTTTCGGACGAATCACATTTTGATTTACGAAGGATAGGAATATCTACATGGATCCAAATTAGAAGGTCTCTATCAACTCTAACTCTGAAATACACAAAAAAAAAAAAAAAAAAATAGATGAAGAGCACTTGTGTTGTTGTTCTTCCTCAACCTCGACTTTCTCATGCCTTAGGTCTTTTTCAAATGAGGACAAGAAGAAATATGCAATATATCATGTATAATAGGGGACCAGAACTTATATATATATTGTGCTGACCATCGTATACACTAGCATATAAAATATGGATCCTCTAGCTCTAGTGCACAATATGAAATGGGAAAGTAATCCTGACTGAATGTGTTATCATAAACAAAAGGTTCAGTCCAAAAATTGTTGCTGAATCCATCCCATGTTTCCCAAAAATGAACATCATCTTCTATTCTATACAAGTCCATGTTTGATTCCACATGACTAGATGAAATTGAAGAGGAGTTGGCTTTAATTGAAAATGAACTTTCCAAAGTTTTTGTCATTTCAATCTCTTGAGTAAGCTTGGTCTCATTGCGCCTTGAGAATTTCTTTAGGTGGCTATGCCAGTAATTCTTTATCTCATTGTCTGATCTTCCGGGTAGACTTTCCGCTATAAGAGACCATCTATAATAAATTCGATCAGATTCAAATCTTAAGAAACAATTCTAACTCATTATTAATCAAATTAGATGCCGAGTTCTTCATTCATCCAATTAAATCCATCAATTTATTCTAGCTTTTAAAACCTATGATCACACACCAACTATGATGGCATGATACACCTGTTGAAGTAATATGAACAAACACAATGTCTAAATAATTGGTGTATCTATTCTGAATTGTTTAATGAGAAGTAACAAAAATCATACTTATTTCCATGCTTTGTATGCAACTCCATGATCATCTCTTCCTCATTTTGTGTATAGTTCCCTCGTTTTAGATTTGGCCGCAGGTAATTCATCCAACGCAACCTACAACTCTTTCCACATCTTGTTAAACCTGTTACATATAGAAGAATATTAAATTACAATAAATCATTTAAAATCCATGATTAATTAATACAAACGGATAATATTTTGTAATAAATATCCTCTATAGTTGACTAACATTAAATTAATTAAAAAATTTATACCTGCAACTTTGGGAAGTTGACGCCAATTGGCATGACCGTGTCTCTGAATGTGAGCAATAAGCATTTGATCCTCTTCCTCACTCCATGCACCTTTCTTTGTTCCATTTTCATCAAAATATGGGGCTCTTACCATTTTGTAGAATTTTATTTATTTATTTTTGAGACCAAAGTTATATGAATGAGCTCAGAGACAAAAGAGTTGAGATCTGAGTATTAATAGTGTTGTGATATGCTAGGATCTCAGCATATAATCATGACTTGAGCTTTAGAAAATAGAAAAATGGACGCACTCATATTTTATAATATTTTTGGTACGTAATACACTATTGAACATTGTATTCTTTCACACATAAAAATAAGTGCACTGTCCACACATTCATATTCTGTAGCTTCAATATTTTATTATTATGGTGTGTTTCGGGGTGAGAGAGTAAGGGATAAAGAAAGAAAGTGTCAGTATCTTGAAAGCTAAATTTATTATTGAATATGAAAGGAAAAATCATTTTATGTGAAATTCTATCATGTGTTGAATTTGTTGTCAAGGAGAGAAATTGATGCACTCAAAAACACAATGCTAAACTTAAAACAAAATATAAGTTTACAAACGATAAATTTGTTAAATAAAATTAGAATCCATCAAAATGAAAAAAAATTTAAATTTTATTATAATAAAAGGCATTGTTAATAATCATATAAAAGTCTTTAAATGCTTAAAACAAAGAAATCGTAATAGATTTTTAATTCAAAAATATAAATAAAATATATAAAATAAAAAAAACTCTAATGAATTTTTAATGCAAAACAAAAATATAATAGAAAATTGTAGAAAATATTAAAATGTTGTTTTTGGGTCTGAAACAAATTTAGATGGTTTAAAAAGTCTTTCTACATCAGTCTCCTCCACCTCTAAAGAACTCGACTTCGAGTTCTCTTCTTGATAAAGAGTCTCATCTCCTTGATATTCATGAATGGCGGCAACATTGAAAGTATTGGATATATTCATGAAATTCGGGAGAGCTACCACATAAGCATTATCATGGATCTTTCGGGTCACTATGAATAGGTCATACTTGCGTGGCTGTAACTTGCTGTAAGTACCAACTGGAAACCTATCCTTACGCAGAAACACTATCACACCGTCTCTCATATTAAAATATTTAGTTTTTTGGTATTTATCTCGCATATGAGGCAAATTATTTGATAGTTCATGTGCATTCAATTCCTTAAAATTCTCTAGGATCCCTAAAACTTTATCTGAAATTGTTATTTTCTCCTTTACAACACTCATAAGCCATTTTTACTCATCATTTGACAGAAAAATCCAGTTTTTTTAACAATCTCATCAAGCTCATTTTTACTTTGTGCCATCGCCAAAAAAATAGACTTATATCCTCTCAGGTTCTTATCAAAGTGCAAAATAGGAGACATGGAAAATTTATGTGTGCCCCATGTAAATATCATCACCTTATTTCATCCTCGATAAGTGATATTATTATCAAACTGCCAAGTCCTACCAAGTAAAATATGACAAACATTCATATCAAGAACATCACAAAATACCTTTTCTCTATAATGTTTTTCGATGGAGATATGAACTCTACAAAATAGTGTTACTCGAACTTCTAAGCCATTTCTTACCCAATCATTGGTGTATGGCTTCTCATGGGATTATGTGGACAACTTCAAACAATCTACCAATTTTTGTGACACCAGATTCTCCATGATGCCACTATCCACAATCAGATTACACAACTTGTTTTTTATAGAACAATGTATTTTAAACAAATTCTTGTGTTTCCCTTCATCTTTGGATGCTAGTAAAGTTCTATGCAACATAAAATTTACCCTCTCATCAGATTCTTTCTCTGCAAACTCAACCCTTGCATATTCATCATTCTCAACTGTATATGTTACTCATTTCTCTTCCTTTTCCCTATCTTCCACAATAGTAGTGACTCTCCTTGTTGGACAAGCATTTAATCTTTGACCCCTTGATTTACAACGATAACACATGTCTCCAGTGAGTTTAGCATATGGATTATTTCACCTCTAGATCGGTGATTTACATTGCTAGACACTGCTAAGGCTACTAGTCCCTTTATTCTCAAGGTTGGAATCACTGGTTGCTGCACTCTTTTTCTTGTCTCCAATTGATTCAAAGTTATTATGGGCTAACTACCTAAAAGGTGATAAATTTAGAGGGGATTTCTCCATCAATTATGCCTTCAAATTTAGATTGGATGCCTCAAGTATGACCCATATAGTCTGCAAACTCATCTTCTTCTACAAGGATCCCTATAGGCTACTGATCTATCAAGAAATTTTTTGGCTCTCTGATTCTTCTAATTTACCGCGCTAAGAAAACTCAAGAAATCAGTAGTGTATTCTACTACAGTTTTGTTTCCATGAAAACACTCAATAAATATCTTATAAAGAGTCTTGTCATAATCCTCCGGTAAAAACCGCTTCAGTATCAATTGTTTCATTCCTCGCTATGATCTGACCAACCATTTTCTTTGCCTTTGCCTATGAACAACAAGATTATTCCACCAAATAGCACCAATACTCTTCATCCTGATGGACTCCATCTTAACTTGCTTGTTCTGAGAGACGCTCATAACGTCGAAGAACCTTTCAACTTTGATCTTCTAATCCATAAACTCCTCCACTCTCATCGTTCTGTTAAATAATGGAATATCAGTCTTCACTCGGTAGTCATGGTTATATCAATTCCCATTATCAATTACCTTTTTCTCACATGGTTATTCTTCTTTAGAACTCAAATTTTTAACAATAACAATACGATTGTTGCCACTCTGTGAACCCTAATTGGTTCCCTTCTCATATCTCTTTGATGGTTCCCTTAGTTATTGGAGTTGTTCACCTGAGTTGATAAAGTCGCCATCTGTTCAGTCAAAGTAGTTAGGGTTATGGTAAAAGTCGCGATAATACCCTCAAGATGTACTCTGGTCACCGGTTGATCCGCTATGTTTGTCAAGCTACGAAAGAATTGGAGAAAACTTGTTGTGATACCAACTGACGCAATCGGAAACACGAAAGGAATAACAAGTGTTAAACCTAGAATAAAACAAAAGTTTGCAAGCGTCAAACTTGTCAAATAAAACTGGAATTCCTTAGAAAGAAGAAAACTCTGAATTTTATTATAATGAAAGATAATCCTGATGGTCATGCCAAAGGTCTTTAAATACAGAAAATAAAAAACTGAAATAAGATTTTAATCCAAAACATAAATAAAATATATCCTAATGGACATTCAATTTAAAATAGAAATATAATAGAAAATTACAGAAAATATTAAAATGTTATTTTTGGGACTGAAACAAATTTGGATGGCTTAAAAATTTTCCAATATAAGAAATTCACCCATTTATTGTATTTTCAATAGTATAAAATGGGATTTAATTTTAATTATTACGCAATTTTTCTTTTGGTAACATTGTTGTTGGTTCTAGCGTTTATCATGACGCTCCGTTCGAATGTATATTTGATTGAAAACATTTTCATTGTTAACAACAAGGAAATCTTAATGGTGTGGAATGAATACTTTTGCAATTATTCATTAAGCGAAGAGATTAATTAAATAAATAATTATTTCTATGTTTCAATATTAGCATGACACTTTATGACCGAAGACTTATGACTAAAAATGATATTTGAGAAAAGGACTTTACATCAGGTATTAAAATATATGATGTAAAAAATAAAATTAAAAAGATTTTATATCAGATATTTATTTGCAATAATATAAAAAATATTTAAAAAATTTTTTCGCTGGCTATTACATCGGTCAAAGTAATAAATCGATGTAAAAGGTTTTATAAAAAAAACACGGTGGCAGTATTGTAAATAAATAACTAGGTGGCAAATTGGAAGAAAAAAACACCAGAAAACCCTTACATCGGGCCTTCCTATCCACCGATGTAAAAAACTAGGTGGCAGATTGGTAAATAAAAAACCAGAAAACCCTTACATCGGGCCTTGCGTTCCACCGATGTAAAAAATCAAAAAACCCTTACATCGGTCATTGACTTCCACCAATGTAAAAAACAATCATTACATCGGTCCATAACTTCCACCGATGTAAAAAGTAGAACTGAAATATATATTACATCGGTTATTTGAATCCACCGATGTAAAAAGTGTAATATATATTTATGAAAAAAGCCCTGCTGCTATTCATTTTGTTATTGACTCTTCTTCTAAACAGTATCCCACGAACGAGATCTGTACCCATAACCCGCCCACCGCTCCGTCTCCGTCTCCGGCCGTCTACGAACGCCCTTCTTCCGTCTCCGTCGCCATTTCCCACCGTTCACGAGACGGTTCCGGTAAGAAACCCCCTCCTCCTTTTTCAAAACCCCCTCCGCCGTCGAACTACGATTCTGGTAAGAAATTTTCTATTTTGTTCAACTTCATTGTATATCTATGTATTTCTAAGAGAGATATACATACAAAAATGTTTTTAATATATTCTTGTTGTTTTGCTTGCTACTGAGATACATTATAAAATAATTGGAAGTACATATAAAACCAATTAGAAGATTATACTAGATACTAACTCAGTGGCTTGGTGAATCCATTCCTTTGTTCATATCTGTTTTTTAATTACTAAACAGTTTATTATTCTTAGAGAGTTTATTAAGTCTAATTAGTTATAAATAGTATATATTTTTTATAGATTTAAGAATATAGTACATGTTGTGTATATGTCATTCTTTTTCATTAGAAATTGTCTCATTTGATTCTATTTTTCTTCTCCACGAAGCAGCGCAACTTGAGATCTCGGAATCTCCGTGAAGTAGCGCAGCCGCGGGCACACCCTTTGTCAGACCTTCCTTCGTGTGAACATGGTTATGGATCATAGTTGGATGAGAGATAATCGATTAAGTGACGAGTACGAACATGGAGCGATGAAATTTCTACAATTTGCTGAAAGTAATGCTGACAAAAGTCTTCCTGCGCTTTTTCTCTATCCATGTGTTTGTTGTGCAAATAAAGAACCAAAACATAGTAAGAAAGAAATCATGGATCATCTAATTTGTGTAGGGATTTGTCAAAGTTATACAGAATGGATATGGCACGGTGAAGTAGTAGCAAAGTCAAATGTGTCTC